GAAGCAAAGATGTGCTACTTGAAGCAAGGATGTGATACCTGAAGCAAGGGTGTGCCACTTGAAGCAAAGATGTGCTACTTGAAGCAAGGATGTGATACTTGAAGCAAGGGTGTGCCACTTGAAGCAAAGATGTGCTACTTGAAGCAAGGATGTGATACCTGAAGCAAGGGTGTGCCACTTGAAGCAAAGATGTGCTACTTGAAGCAAGGATGTGATACCTGAAGCAAGGGTGTGCTACTTGAAGCAAAGATGTGCTACTTGAAGCAAGGATGTGATACCTGAAGCAAGGGTGTGCTACTTGAAACGAGGGTGTGCAACTTGAAGCAAGGGTGCGTACTACTTGAAGGAAGAATGTGCTACTAGTTGCAGAGATGTGCTGCTAGGAGAATGAATAAGAAAGAGGGAGATGGAAAAGTAAGAAAGATATGAAGGGGGTTAAGGACAGGGAAGAAAAATTAGAAAATTGGAGATGAACGAGTAATAACTATAATATAACAAAAATGTAACAACTCTTGTATATATCTAAAAAAAATAGCAGCATAATAGTCTTGCAATAATGCTACTGTTGCATCTCTCGATTCGATTTCATAAAAATACGCTTACAAATGGTTCAATGATATGTTTACAATACGAGGTTGTATTGGGATATTTTGGTAGTGAGCGGTACCAAATTAACCGCCGTAAAACAGGTCTATAATGAATCTATAATGAAGGGTGGAGGTGGGGGGGAGTTGTTGTGGTGTTCGTTCGGGTGTGGTTGGTCGGTAGTGTGGTGGGAGGTGGAGGGTGGTTGCTGTCTGGGGAGACTGGAGAGAGAGGTGTGTATAGCGGGTCCAGGAAACTGATGATCGGTTGTGAGTTGGGTTGAAGATGAAGGGATAGTTACCAGGGGGCCAGATTCACGAAAGCACTTACGAACGTGTACACCTTTCCACAATCTTTGACTGCTTTGGTTACATTTATTAAACAGTTTACAAGCATGAAAACTTGCCAGTCAACTGTTGTTATTGCTATAAACAGCCTCCTGGTGCTTCGGAGCTCATTAACTGTTGAAGAATTGTAAACAAAGCCGTCAAAGATTGAGAAAAGATGTACAGGTTCGTAAGTGCTTTCGTGAATCTGGCCCCTGGTTTATCCACGGGGGAGAATGGGTGTTGAGGTTAGGTTAGGTTAGTGGAGTGGAGTGAGTTGAGGCGCAGGAGGGGAAGGGCGGGGGAAGAACCTGGTAGACACGGGGGGAAAAACTAGTTGGCTAACTGATATAACCGGATTCCACAGGCCCTTTGCAACGCAATTTGCTGGTAGGGTAATTGGTCATTCGCAAGCTGGCGTTTATGTGTGCGTGCATATCTATATATATATGCTTGCGAGGTTAAGCGACAGCTCTTAAGCCCCATTTCCCGAGCCATTAATATTTTAATATTATGGCCCGTCCTCATCAGCAAAGGCCTAATGTTCGTTAATCCAGCCGCCAAACGTCCTCTGTTGGAATCGTGCCTCTGTGAAGGCTTCACTCATGAAGTCTGTCAGTATTGTTCAGTGTGTCTAAGGAGCTAGCCACTGCGTGGATAAGCATACCTTGACGACGAGGTGAATATATTCACTCGTTCTGTATATCCTACTAGATAGGGTACCTCATGGTACTCTGGGTACCCCATGGTACTCTATCTCTATATGACTCACCCGAGTTTCAAGCTTCCGTCCATGTTCTCTTGTACTAATGGTAGTCAATGTGAACATTTCCTCTTTTTCCACTTTGTCAATCTCCCCCAAGTATTTTATACGTCTCTTATTATGTCCCCCACCTCTCTCTCTCTCTCCTCTCTTCTAGTGTCGTCTGGTTCAGTTCCTTCCGTCCATCTTCATACCTCCAATTCTGAGGAGATAAACCTTATTGCAAACTTCTGAACCTTTTCGAGTTTCATTATATTTCTTTTGATGGTAGCTCCAGGATGAGGCTGCATACTCCAGTCTCACGTAGGTGGTGTATATAGCTCTAAATACCTTCTTATTTAGGAGTATGTGTTAATGAATATGAGAGAAAGGGTTAGATAAATGATTCTAGAATAATGAATATATATATACTTCTTTATATTTCTCCTTTACTTCACAAGGAAGTTAAACAAATTACTCTCCATAGATCATTTTACAGTTCTGTATGGCCTGACGCTAAGAGATACGTTTCCTTGATCCTGTCAACTTTGTCAAAGACAATAAAGTGGACACAAATTGGCTGTTGTTATTGTTTTAGATTTAGCTACTCAGAACGAAGTGTCCATGTAGCACGGGCTATGGAGAGCCCGTAAACTCACAAATTAGCTCAGGCAACTGTATATATATGACCAAAACGTATGAGGTGAAGCAGGGCACATGGGTCAATAGCCCATCAGCAGTTCCCCCAACTCCTATGTTCTTAATATGGCTGGGGTAGTGTGTGTGTGTGTGTGTACTCACCTAGTTGTACTCACCTAGTTGTTTCTGCAGGATCGAGCATTGACTCTTGGATCCCGCCTTTCGAGCATCGGTTGTTTACAGCAATGACTCCTGTCCTATTTCCCTATCATACCTGGTTTTAAAATTATGAATAGTATTTGCTTCCACAACCTGTTCCTGAAGTGCATTCCATTTCCCCACTACTCTCACGCTAAAAGAAAACTTCCTAACATCTCTGTGACTCATCTGAGTTTCAAGCTTCCATCCATGTCCTCTCGTTCTGTTACTATTCCGTGTGAACATTTCGTCTATGTCCACTCTGTCAATTCCTCTGAGTATCTTATACGTTCCTATCATGTCCCCCCTCTCCCTTCTTCTTTCTAGTGTCGTAAGGCACAGTTCCCTCAGGCGCTCTTCATACCCCATCCCTCGTAGCTCTGGGACGAGTCTCGTTGCAAACCTCTGAACCTTTTCCAGTTTCATTATATGCTTCTTCAGAAGCTTCATTATATGAAGCTTCAGAAGTTTCATTATATGCTTCTGTGTGTGTGTGTGTGTGTGTGTGTGTGTGTGTGTGTGCTGGACACTGTGTCTTAGTCTTGAGGACTGTAGCATGATGACCAGACCACACACTAGAAGGTGAAGGGACGACGACGTTCCGGTCCGTCCTGGACCATTCTCAAGTCGATCTGTTCGACTTGAGAATGGTCCAGGACGGACCGAAACGTCGTCGTCCCTTCACATTCTAGTGTGTGGTCTGGTCATCATACTTTAGCCACGTTATTGTGACTCATCGCCTGCGACTGTAGCATGTACCGAGTGTGAGCAACTTGTTAAGAATGGGTTGAGATTGCTTGATATGTAGTGCTTCGGTGATGTCTCATCTTCTGTGGTCGTTGTCGATTATTTCAGTGTTGTTGGTCAGGATAGCTCTGTTGATGATCTGACTGTGTGTGTAGATGTAACATATTTCAGTGTGGATATCTCTGATGATGATTTAGCTGTATGTAGGCGTTACATATTTGCTGAAGAAGCCTTGTTGTTTGTGCATTGTTTGCAAGATAATTGAGTAATAAATAATAATAATAATAATAATAATAATAATAATAATAATAATAATAATAATAATAATAATAATAATAATAATAATAAACCTCCAGAGGCTGATAAGACTTCAACACAACACAAAAGCAAACTTGTAATTCAATGCAAAATAGTTTTTATAATACCAATAAACTTGATATCCAGAATAAAATGCAACTGCATATTCTAGTACAATAGTTCAATATAACAGAATATTCTCACAATGCAATAGTCATTATGCCCTTTATATAATGCAACAATATGAGCTCAATACATCATCAGTATATTCTCATAATACATTAGCATATGTACATAATCTATACACTAGCAAATGATATTCATGATAGTGGTATCAGAGATGATAGTAGCATGAGGGGTGGGGGGCGGATAGTGGTATCAGGGATGAGTGGTGGTAGTATGAGGCGGTGGACTGGGTAGTAATAGTAGTATCGGGGGAGGGGGAGGGGGAGGGGGAGGGGGAGGGGGAGGGGGAGGGGGAGGGGGAGGGGGAGGGGGAGGGGGAGGGGGAGGGGGGAGTGGGGGATTATGAAGGGGGCATACCTGGCGGCAGTGGCTTTGACCAACGTATCTGGAACAGTGTGAAATCCACTGGAAGAGTGAAAGGAAGAGGGTGACGCACACGGGAGAACAACAATTATTACCCTCCCTCCCTTCTTCATCCCTCCCTCACCCCCTCTTCATCCCTCCCTCCCTCCCACCCCCCCTCTTCCTCCCTATTGACTACACGAGGGGGAAGTCCCCGTAGGAATTATTGCGAAGATGTTTTGTTTTCTACTTTTTTATCTTCCTGGAAGTCATACCAGGGAAGGAGGAGCAAGACAGGAAGCGCAGCTGTGCGTTAGTGTAGGTGCAGCCTTGGGGCGAGACGCGAGGTCTGGAGGAGCACCTTCAGGTACTCCTTGAGATACACCTATGTCCTCCTTCATTCACATATAGGAGAACGAACCCTCTGGAGTAGTTTCAATATGTCACCCCAAGGAGTACATTCAGGAGGCAGACGATCTCCCCAAAGAACATCTTCGAGAAGTTGACCAGACCACACACTAGAAGTTGAAGGGACGACGACGTTTCGGTCCGTCCTGGACCATTCTCAAGTCGAAACGTCGTCGTCCCTTCAACTTCTAGTGTGTGGTCTGGTCAACATACTTCAGCTACGTTATTGTGACTCATCGCCGCCTGCATCTTCGGGAAGCTCTCGGTCCAGGATCACCTTCAAAAAAAAGCCGCTTCCCCAAGGAACGTCTTTAGCGCGTCCTCCAAGGAGAACATATGTACGTGCAGGAGGAAGCAGATGGTCCCTAAGAAAGGTGTCCACACGGACCACAGGTGACCCTCTCAGATAACAACCGCACCTGGAAATTCCCCGCCTCTCTCCCCCTAGTGCATGAAGCGCGTCTTTTGTTTTCCTCCCCCCCGGTCCCATCTTCCTCTCCAATCATAAACAAAACACAGTCTTCCTTTACCTTCCGACGAGTCTGTTGCAGGTGTGGGCGTCCTTGATGTGTTATCTTACTCGTAATGGCAGCTCGAGGCGTTTTATTACACCTGGTTTCAAGTCCCGCACGACACAGTCATCGTATCTGAAGGTGTAAGGCTTTGGTTAGTAGCGCAGGCACCTCACGAAGACACGGACACGGACACACCACAAGAACACAAACACGTCAAAGGGACACTTTTCAAGCACACGGACACATCACAAGGACACAGCCACACCAGAAGAATACGAACACATACCCCTATAAATTATGTGAAAAGACTTTCAAGCACTCGGACTAAGAAATATAGTGGGGGGGGGAGGTCTATATACCCGAGGACCACATAGGTCTATATACCCGAGGACCACATAGGTCTATATCCCCGAGGACCACATAGGTCTATATACCCGAGGACCACATAGATCCATATACCCGAGGACCACATAGATCCATATACCCGAGGACCACATAGGTCTATATCCCCGAGGATCACATAGATCCATATACCCGAGGACCACATAGATCTATATACCCGAGGACCACATAGGTCTATATACCCGAGGACCACATAGGTCTATACACCCGAGGACCACATAGGTCTATATACCCGAGGACCACATAGGCCTATATACCCGAGGACCACATAGATCTATATACCCGAGGACCACATAGGTCTATATCCCCGAGGACCACATAGATCTATATACCCGAGGACCACATAGATCTATATACCCGAGGACCACATAGATCCATATACCCGAGGACCACATAGATCCATATACCCGAGGACCACATAGGCCTATATACCCGAGGACCACATAGATCTATATACCCGAGGACCACATAGGTCTATATACCCGAGGACCACATAGATCCATATACCCGAGGACCACATAGGCCTATATACCCGAGGACCACATAGGCCTATATACCCGAGGACCACATAGGTCTATATACCCGAGGACCGCATAGGTCTATATACCCGAGGACCACATAGATATATATACCCGAGGACCACATAGATCCATATACCCGAGGACCACATAGGCCTATATACCCGAGGACCACATAGCGGACATTGTGTGAGGAGCCTATGCTATGCTATCCAACTTCAGCATCGCTGTTAAACACATGGACAGTAAAATACTAAAGAAACTGTTCACGACTTTTGAAGAGACCAAAATTGTAACCTGCAGCTGTTGAATGGTGCCCGTATCTCAAGAAACACATTTAGCAACCTGTAAAAGGTGTAAACACATGCTACTAAATGGCTTCCGGAACTGAAAAACAAAAGAGCTACGAGGAGAGCTCGTTTCTGCCCGAAACGCTTTGCGTAATAGTGGCTTTAGGCATTGTATGTACTAGCTCTATCTATAAAGCCAACAAACTTTGTAAAATCTCTTTATGTATGTACCTTTGCCTAAATAAAAATTATTATTATTATTATTATTATAGAGGCTAGAGGCGTTAACTGTGCCCATAAAAAATGAAAGATCGAAGAAAAAAGGTGATATGATCCCTACGTGCAAAATATTTACAGGAATCGAGAAAATTGACGAAGAGTAATTCTTTAAAACTTGAACTTCAAGAACAAGAGGTCACAAAGTTAAGCTAAGGAAGCAAAGATGTCAAAAAAAAAACATTAAAAAGTTCTCTTTTGCAAACAGTGCGGTAGACGGTTGGAACAAGTTAAGTGAGAAGACGGTGGAGGCCAAAACCCGTCAATAGTGCCAGAGCGTTGTATGACAAAGAGTACTGGGAAGACGGGACACCACGAGCGTAGCTCTCATCCTGGAACTCCACTTAGCCAATGACATCACAATGACACATCACAACAATGGATACGAACTGGAGAGCTGGTGTCTCAGGAGGGCTACAGATCCGCACAGGTTAGGAAGCAGGGTTGTGGACGAGGGAGGGAATTATCAAGGGGGAAAGCGCCAAGCCATGACGACTATATATGTACCCCCCATATGTGGTGTGAGGGCCGCCCCCAGCCAACATCATTGACGCACTTTGACAAGTTTCTAAACAAACTGAATAGCTTCAAGACTCAGAGAGGAGGTGGATTTATAAATGGGACTCCTTTTAGTGATGGGACCATCTTAGTAATGGGACACTCTTAGTACTAGGACCCTCTTAGTAATGGGACCATCTTAGTAATGGGACCCTCTTAGTAATGGGACCATCTTAGTAATTAATTAAACTACAATTATAGTGCAGAACAAAGCTGGCAATGACTGTGTCCCTGAGCCTTCTTACTGGTCACTGTCTTGATGCCACGCTCATCTACGGCTTAAAAGACCAGGTTCTACATGCGAGTGAGCCAGCATGAGGCTGTTGATGGCTGATCGCCTTGTGTTATGATTGCCAACTTCTGAATCTCCACCAAACATTCTCTAACCAATCCAAGCAGAAAGGGGCAAGAAAGAGAGAGGAGACGTCAAGCACGGCTCTTCATCTTATTCAGAATCTGAGTAAATGGGGACTAGACCATCAGGAGAGCAGTGTATACTCAAGATGGGAGCGAACGCGTGTTTCGTTTAAGGTTTCGCAACCGCTGCTGTCGAGAAAGTATGAGGTGCAGCTAAGGGTTACAAGTTTCTTGGATGCCATACTTCGTGGCTCTTCATGGCCATAGAAGAGTCAAACTTCATCTGCAAGTTGTCAACTTAATTCATCACTGAGCACTTCATTTTTTCAGTCATCTGTATGCCTTTCGGAAGTGCAAAATCATACAATGTAGTTATGGTAATTGACGGAAAACCTTCCCGCTATGTGCTGCATGAATTTCCCCTCTAAAAATTGTAAATTAAACATCGTTAAAATAGACTAAACAGATATTGTTTATAAAATGAATGAGTCGATGACTAGTAGTAATAGGCATCGATCAGTCTCAGGAGACTATAGGGTTGCGCTCTGGTTGTCGGTCTGGAGTAGCCTCTCCAGGGCACAAAACCAGGGTAGGTTGATATGGAGAAGCTGTTACCCATGCAGCAGGACTAACCAACATATAAAAGCAACACAACAACCACACAAGACATGTGTAGCAGCAGCGGTTCCGCCGCCTACCGGAGAGACGAGAGTGTGTGTATATGGTAACCGGCTCCCGCTCTTGGGACCTTGGGACTCCCCCCCTCTACAACTCTAGCATACTAATGCCGCCGGGAGAACCCTGGGACCTCTCCCGTACCTTAAAGTCAATAAGAACGAAACTATCGAAGCAATACGAACATCATTGACATCTTCCTCACCACCACCACCACTAACAATAACAACTACCACCTCACTGAACCACCGCCCACTAACAAGTCACCACAACCACCTACACCAAACAATCTGGTTGACCTTGGGATGGAAAACTCGGTTCCAGCCGGTTTAACACTATCCCTTGAGGGGGACGAGGCTAGAGGTGGGGGGGGGGGGAGGGGTACCCTGTTCAAGGGATGGGGGGGAGGGGTACCCTGTTCAAGGGATGGAGGGGAGGAGGAGGAGGACAGAGGTATGAGGGGGATGGTGGTGGATAGGCTCAGAGGTGGATGTGGTTATAAGGATGATGGTATAATAGAGTCAGGGTTATGGTATGGTGGGATGGTGGCTGAAGGTATGATGGGATGGCTGGGACAGCAGCAGGTGGGATAGGGGGTGGATAGAACAGGACATTAACTTGGATTTGCCCTAAACTATCTTCAGTTTTAATAAAAGATTTACACTATAAAAACACTAAGCCACTAGATGGCGGGACACACACATTCTAAGCTTAGTGTGGGGCAAATCTTGAGCAGCTTTGTTGACCAGACCACACACTAGAAGTTGAAGGGACGACGACGTTTCGGTCCGTCCTGGACCATTCTCAAGTCAATTGTGATGAGGAGGTAGAGACAGGCAACTTGAGCAGCTTTGTTGATACAAATCCTAAAAGCTTCACGTGGACCAATCCTGGCAAGTTAGGTTTGGACACATTCTGGCAGCGTAGAGTTGCAAAGGTCACAGGGTAGATAAGAGTACGGAGGCCCGTGTATACCCGCCAGGACAATGGTCACATAGTTACGTTTTTGTGGTTTAATATACCTGCGTGTTGGGTCTGTAGCAGCGCTCAGGGCGATTCCTTCCCCCCACCCATCAACCCCCATAACCCCAGATCTAACTCCCCCCTAACCCCCCCCCCTCTTTTACAACCATTACATCCCCCCCCCCTTTCCCCCCTCAGTAGAACAGCTCGTCACCCACCTGCTGCTGCTGCTGCTGCGCCCTGCCGTTAGGGTTTTAGCGTAGTTTACTTATTATGCACCCTTATACCCACCTTGTGAGAGGGGGGTCGTTGGGGTACACCCCCCATACCCACCTTGTGAGAGGGGGGGTCGTATGGGCACCCCACCATACCCATCCTCTGTTCCATTTTATTACAATCATTACCGTTCTTGTATTGTAGTTTACAAACTGGTACTTTACCTTCGGTGAAGTGTGGTGTGCAAATGACAGTTTATCATCACTGCACGGCGGTGTATCTAGTTTACCGTCACTGCATGGCGGTGTATCTAGTTTACCGTCACTGCATGGCGGTGTATCTAGTTTACCGTCACTGCATGGCGGTGTATCTAGTTTACCGTCACTGCATGGCGGTGTATCTAGTTTACCGTCACTGCATGGCGGTGTATCTAGTTTACCGTCACTGCATGGCGGTGTATCTAGTTTACCGTCACTGCATGATAAGGCATCGACAGTTTACCGTCACTGCATGACAAGGCATCGACAGTTTACCGTCACTGCATGACAAGGCATCGACAGTTTACCGTCACTGCATGACAGTGCATCCACAGTTCACGAGAGCTAATGGGATTCGTAAGTTGATAATTGACCTTGAAGTGTAGCGCACGAAGTTGAATCCTTTCGGAGGGTTTTTTCTTATTTTTGCGGGGTTCAAGTTCAAGGTTCTAATGGAGAATGTAATGGATATCAATACTCTCCCCCCTCCCCCCCACGCTATCTTCATCCTCCCCCTCCGGTGGTCAAGCCGTGGTCGCTTGCCTGACCTTCCTTGACCGTGAACTAAGGGAAATGATGCGACGCTTGCTGCTGCATGATGTTGGGGTATGATTAGCATG